ACTCTTTTGAGTTTTGGAATTGGCTTTTCTAAGTATTTCTGTCAGGGAAACCAATGTTATGTTAAGACTGTTATCAATTTAAACTGAAAGTATGGTTTTACAAAACTTTAAGTTTGAATATAAACCTTAATATGAATAGAAGTGTTTCCTTGTATTAAATTTCAGTGCAGTGGTGTTTTTAAACTTTTAAACATTTTCTGAATTGTTGTGAACCCAAAGGACATCATAGTAACCATAGAGTTAGAAGGAACCGCAAGGTCATCTAGTCTAACCCTCTGCCAAGATGCAGGATTTGTTGTGTCTAAAAAACCATCCAACACAGATGACTATCCAACCTCCTTTTGAAAAGCTTCCATGACATGATTTTAGAACACTAATGGAATGTTATTGATTTGTGTTCTTAAGAATCAGAAAAAAATGAAACTGACAAGAAAATTGAAGTTAAACTAAGTGGTAAATTTTTTCATAGTCTAGACTGAATTAAATTCCAAATGTAAAATATTCAGCTTTACTTGTCTAAAGATGTGTCTGCACTCTTTTTTCTCCCCCCCGCGCCCCCTCTCCCCCCCGCGCCCCGACTCCTTGTCAGCAAGTCTCAGAGCCCAGGTCAACTGACTCAGGCTCACACTATGGAACTAAAAATAGCAGTGTAGATGTTCCCACTTAGGTTGGAGCCAGGACTCTGAAACACACCCCTTTCCCAGGCTTGTTGTCACAGGTAAATTTGTTGATTGTTTTTGTACCCTTCATGACACTACAGTATATTGTTTTTTACTTTTTGTCTTAACAGTTCTTTGACTTTGATTTTTTTTTTTAAACTTCCATCATTTGACCAGCCATAAGAATCACTACTACAAAACTAGTCATAGAATTATAATTTTTATCATGTGTTTGATTGTGGCATATTTTTTGTGTTTTTTATCAAGCACAGAAAACCATAGAATTGTAGGAGTGGAAGGGACCATCTAGTCCAGCCCCCTGCACTCATGGTGGGACTAAGTATTATCTAGACCGGGGTGGCCAACCTGTGGCTCCGGAGCCACATGCAGCTCTTCAGAAGTTAATATGCGGCTCCTTGTATAGGCACCTACTCCAGGGATGGAGCTATAGGCATCAACTTTCCAATGTGCCGGGGACGGGGGGTGCTCACTGCTCAACCCCTAGCTCTGCCACAGGCCGTGCTCCCACTCCACCCCTTCCCAACTCCTCCCTTGAGCCTGCCATGCCCTTGCTCCACCCCCTCCCCTCCCCCAGAGCCTCCTGCATGCCACGAAACAGCTGATCAGGAGATGTGGGGAGGGAGGGGGAGGTGCTGATGTGGGGCTGATGACATATTACTATGTCCAACCTAAACTGCCCTTGCCGCAATTTAAGCTCATTGCTTCTTGTCCTATTCTCGGAGGTTAAGGGGAACATTTTTTCTTCCTCCTCCTTGTAACAACCTTTTATGTACTTGAAAGCTGTTATCATGGACCCCCTCTGTTTTCTTTTCTTCAAACTAAACAAATCCAATTTTTTCAATCTTCTCTCAGAGGTCATGTTTTCTAGACCTTTAATCATTCTTGTTGCTCTACTCTGGACTTTCTCCAGTTTATCCACATCTTTCCTGAAATGTGGCATGCTGGCTGCCACACATAAGACACAGTCCCTTCCCCAAAATTGTTACTGTCTAAATAGGCAAGTAAAACAATAATATGCAGGTAACATGTTGCAGTTGATGTTAGCTATACATCTAATCAGTTACATGATATTTTTATTTTAAACCATCCTCCCTTTTCCCAAAAGGCAGGTGTCCCAGCCTTTTGCATCTCCAGAAATATGACCACCTATCAACCTGCCCACCTCAGAGCCAATTAGATATTACCCTTATTGTAGGCCTGACTTGACATGGGTGAGGCCTCATTTCTTAGGAGACTGGATTAGGGAAGTGAATGAATCAGCAGGCTAGGAACAGAATGTCTGTACTAGCTAAAATAAGGGGAAACACCCAGGAAACCAATTACAATGGACAAGAAAACAGTAGATAGGCCTGGAACGTAAGATAAGGTAAAGGATAAGTTGTTCATAGTGCGTGCTGTACAGGGATTGGTTTCTACAAAGTGACCAAGCCAATCCCCAAATGTCTAGTGTGATGTATAGTAAATACAATGTAATGTTTAAATGTATATAAAGGCAGAGATTTGCTGTGTAACTTTGGATGTTGATATGCCCTATGCCCACCCTCTACCCTTAATTCTGATCAACTCAGTGTAGCTTTGCTGTATGCCAAATAAAAGAGCCTGAGTGACGAGACTAAAGTCAAACTAAGTTCTTGGAGACCCAAGTGGAAGAAGTGTTTAGGGGAACCCCAACACATTTTAGTACAATTAGCTTAAGATGGTGTTTGATAGTTTCTGCTGTTCCATACCGTCTGACCTCCCACAGAGGGTTAGGGAGTGGATGTTTGTGGGGATAGTGTGAATGGTCTACATGGGCTCATCTGACTCTAGTCTCTACTGGCCCCCGCACAAATATGGGGTGAGTGAAGGCAGCCTTCTCCACTGGCTCCCTTGGAGTAAGGGCACCTCTGCTGCCCCTAATTTTTGTTGGCTTCTGCTGTCCTTTCCACCCACCCTCTCCGTATATGAAAGGAGGGGGAAGAATGCTCCTTCCTCTGGAATTTATGCTGTTCTTTCCCATGTCCCTATGATAGCTCTGTTAATACTGATTTTACTTGCAATTTTTGATAGTTTTACCATAGTCATAAGGATTATACCATTAATTTCCTGTATAGATTCCCTTTGCAATGTACATTACAGCTTTGTACTCCGTTTAGTGTATTTCAATTCCAAAGATAAGCAAAAATCCCCATTTTAAATATTGGTTTTTTTTCTAAATTGCTTTCCTAATTTAGCATAGGGAAGCAGCATCGTCTAGTGGACTGTGCATGGAGTTGAACCTCCTAATTCTTAGCCCAGTGACTTACTGTGGACACATCACTTAACCTCTCTGTCCTAGTTTTCCCATCTGTGTAATAGTCGAAGAGTCATGGAAAACTGAATCATAGATTCTAGGGGTGAAAAGACAAGTTAGATCATCCAGTCTGTCTACCTGTCAATGCAAGATTGTTTCCTATTGTACATTTACTAGTGTGTTTTCAATCTGGTTTTAAATATTCCGACTTGTGATAGAGCTTCTTCCAGTGCCTCTGGGCGATGATTTTAGAAGTCAATAGATCTCACCGTCACGAGGTTTTTCCTAACGTTCATATCAAATGTATTTCCCCTTTCTTAATTTCAGCCCATTACTCTTGGTTATACTTTACAATGCTGCAGCTGTTACTCATTAATTGTAAAGCGCACATGTTTTACACAACACTTAACAACATAGATAACATATTCCATGCTTAGAAGAACTAATGAGCTAAATAAGATGGACACAGGACAACATTGTGAGAGAAGAAAAAGTGCGTGGATTATTAATGGTAAAGGAGTAGGAACTGCCTAGAAAGGTGAGTTTAAGGAGGGATTTCAGGAAGTAGCATGAGAATGGCTAGCAGATGAGGACAGGCAGACTAGCTGTGGGGAGCAGCATGATAAGATGTATAAATCTGAAAGTAGGAAAAAGTGACTAAGAGTGTAAAGCAGAAGGACTGGAATGCTCATTGGAAGGTAAGCAGGGGGAAGTGAGGACCATCTCTCCTTAATGTTCACATTTTTCAGCTATTTATAGACGATCGTGTCATCACATAGCAAGGTGTGCATATATAGCACTTAATCTTTGCACGTAAATCAACTGCTGTAGACCACTAATTGCTCTGGTTGTTATGAACTTCTTCCCTAGAATTTTTCTTCTGAGGTGTCCATATTTGAACACAGTGTTCCAGCTGTGGGTACAACACGGACACAAGGGTCTGCTATCTCCCTGCTGCGCAACACTGTGTGTTGCATTGGTCTCTTTGCTGCCATATCACACTGCAAACACAGGACTATTTACTCTTCTTTGTCATGTTTAAGTTGCTTCCCAGCTTTCTGCCTATTTGAATATCTATTTTATGAATTATTTTCTTCAAACATTTGCACCACCCATAACAAAGCAGGGCCTGGTGATGGGTAGCCCAGAGCCTAACTGGCAAGTTCTTCCTTTACCAGTCTTATAAATGACTTGCATTATAATTTTTAAAACTATAGATGTATAGGAAGTCACTTGGTCCTCATGTAATCTAGTAACATAAACTCTGTTTTAAAATGAATACATGGCAAACAATCTATAATGTAATTTATTTTCTTCCGTACCCATAAAAGAAACAAAAAAAACAAGCCAATATAAACTCTAAAATAGCTATTGAATATGTACAGTTGCTAAGATTAATAAGGATTTTAATATTATTTTTAATACATACAACTGTCCTAATTGTGGTCACAGTTAGTTTAAAATTTGCTTCTCTAAAGACGCCTGCTGTACAGGATTCTCCCTTCTGGCGTGAGAATCCTGCATAGATGATAGCTTCAGAGAAGTGGAATTACAGGTAAGTAATTTTCCCTTTCAACCTCAGTTACAGGGCTGTAATCAAATCTATATATTTACGCTGGAAAGATTTCAGAGTCTCTGGTAAATGGGCATGTCTAAACCTCCCATGGTCTATTTTAAGTGACAAATTCAGGCAACCGAGTGTTTCTAAAAATAAGATCTGATCCTGAAGACTGTACTCACTCAAAACTCCCACTGGCTTTAGTATAACCAGGTACTGTTGTGATGGCTATGATATAAATAGATTAGAAAGAATCTGGTTTTAAATATGTAAGGCAACATTTTGCAAGTAAATTCAGTAAAATTTTACCTGTAAGTGTACGTAAATACTGGTGTCTATGCCATCTTTGAAGAACTGGTCCTATTCTCCTTTAAATTAGTAGGAGTAGTCAAAGTTTACTAAACCTTTCTCAGATTTACCTTCTTCATGAACATTATTATAAAGTACTATTATTACACGTCTAAGAAGAGTAAACATTTTTCTTCCACAGGAAGTAAAACCGGATCAAGTAACCAAACTTGCTCTTGGAGGAGAGATTAATTTTGAGCAAGTCTGCAAAAAGGTACGACTTTTTATCTTAGAATGATCATTAGGACACATGCAAGTGTGGGTATATGTATGCATGTGCATATTTTGTGTATGTATATTGATTTTTTTAATTAAAAGAATATACCGATCCACTAGGGCATGTGTGTATGTATTTTAAAAAGCAATTTAGCAGGAATGGCTCGTTATTAGGGCTGGTAAGGCTAATACCCATCAATAGTAGGCAACCACATCATTGGCTTATATAACATCTATATCAGGGTGTCATGGCCTGCCTAATATATGTGTGACCCACATGACCTACTTGTGGACAATGTATGTTTTCATTTTTTTATAAAGTAAATTTCCAACCACTTTGGCTGCAGAGAGAAATGTCCAAATGTGAACAGAGTATAACTGATGTCATGGTGTCTGCAGACAATCTGAAATAATGACTGAGTGGTGAACTCCCTGTCCCCTATTAATCTCATTGGTGTATCACCTCGATAGCCTGATAATTAATTGTCAACATTAACTATTCCATTGTTGATGTTTTTAGCAAATCAAAAGTACATGAGGGTAGTAATAGGTCGTTCTGTTGGGAAGGAAATTCAGAGGGTGGATGCACAGACAAGATAATGGGAGAAAAATGGAGAAGGAAGTGTAACAAAGGGCAGGAATAAGAGAGTCCTAACGGGGAGCATATTTCCCCGCTGAGTGATACTGAATGGTACAAGAAGGCATTGAATCAATAATAAATACACCTCTACCCCAATATAATGCTGTCCTCGGGAGCCAAAAAATCTTACCGTGTTATAGGTGAAACTGCGTTATATCGAAGTTACTTTGATCCGCCGGAGCACACAGCCCGCCCCCGGAGCACTGCTTTACCGCATTATATCTGAATTTGTGTTATATCAGGTCGCGTTATATCGGGGTAGAGGTGTAGGTAAAATTTTGTTATATATATTTATTTTTATGAAGTTTTATATTGCATGTTCTTCTTTCGATCTCTGACATCAGTGGACTCTCCACTGAGGATCGTGTGGAGTATGAAGTCTGGAATTTATATCTGAGGCTAACATGGAATTCAGCCATCTATGAATGGGTTTTGACATCCCTGGGCTACTGTACTGCATGCAGGGTGTAGAGGAGTCTGAAGCAGCTGAAGTTTCTCAAGCCCCAGGCGCAGGCCCACTGACAGGCAATTTCCCAGGGGCCCGGGCGACTTAAAAAGGCCTGGGGCCCGCTGCTGGCAGCGCAGTAGAGCTAAGGTAGGCTTCCTGCCCGCCCTCACTCTGCGCTGCTCCCAGAAGTGGCTGGAACGGCCCTATGGCCCCTGGGGGGGAGAGGGGGGGTCTCCACGCTGCCCCGCCCCAGCACTGACTCCACAGCTCCCATTGGCAGGGAACTGTGGCCAATGGGAGATGCAGGGGTGGTGCCTGCGGCCAGCAGCGCGCGGAGACCCGCTTGTCCCCCACCTCGGAGCTGTTGCCAGAGGGGTGTGCCAGTCGCTTTCGGGAGCCGCCCAAGGTAAGTGCCGAACCCCTGCCCCCCTCCTGTACCCCTGCCCCAGCCTAGAGCCCACACCCAAACTCCCTCCCAGAGCCCACACTCCCTCCCGCACCCCAACTCCCTGCCCCAGCCTGGTGAAAGTGAGTGATGGTAGAGGAGAGCGAGCGACAGAGGGCAGGGTGACGGAGTGAGCAGCGGATGGGGCCTCAGAGAAGGGGTGAGACCAGGGGTGTGGCCTCAGGGAAGGGGTGGGACAGGGGTGGTGCAAGGGTCTTTGGGTTTGTGCAGTTAGACAGTTGGCAACCTTACCGGGCGGGCATATGGAAGCCCTGGTCATGCTGGAAAAGCATGCGCAGTAGTGCAGCCCAAACGTCAGGCGGACCTCATCCGCGCGGGCATGGCTTGTGCATGCGTGGGGGCCCATTGACTGTTCTGCCCTGGGTCCCAGATTTGATGTCAGTGGGCCTGCCCAGGAGTCTGTGCAGCACATGCAGAGGGGATTCCAAACTTCCACGGGGAAAAATCAGATTAATCCTCAATTCAAAGAGCAGAATAGCAGCATCCTCCATAGGAGGGACAGAGCAGGTCTAGAGCGGCACTCCAGTAGGCATTCCTCTCTGTTGTCTTCTCTACCATTCCTTCATGCTAGGGCTGGAAAAGAGGGTAAATGAAAGATTGGGGGATTGCTGGTAGGGAGTGCGTTGGAAGTACCTGTGATGGGTATGGAGTTTCTGGGCATGGAGTTTCCAGGCAGGAGGAGAGCTGGAGGAAGGTTGGTTGCTGGTATGAAGGGAATATGGAACTAAGATAGGAGTGTTTTCTGGTGTGCAGGGTCTCTGGAGATGGAAAGGGAGCTAAAACAGGGAGAGTTCGCATCTTGGAAAAATTCTTGAATTGAAACAGTGAAGCATTTTGATGCCAATTTCTGTGGCTTAATAGCATTGTCAAGAGTCCAACAGCAACCAGTTTCTCGTTCTGTGATGAAATTCTTGAAAAATACGAAAGCCCAGAAATGAAGCAGCTGGCATTAGCTTGGAGCAATTCACTGTCATGGTTAGGTTTTTATTACCCAAAAAGAATGAGGAAGTAAAACTTTTAATCTGACCAGTCAGATCTTCTCTCCTGTCTATTCCTTATTTTTCTCCAATTATGAACCTGAAGCAATCAAGCAAGGAAAGTTTTATGTGCCATGAAATTCCAGGGGCCTTAACTATAGCTATTTTCCCCAATGACATGGCTGATTGCGTGTTTTTGTATTTACATAAAGTAAGCTTTCTTTTTATCATTTAAAACAGACATGTTTATGAAGCTACCTATTTAAAATTATTCTAGGGATTTTTATCATAAGCCTCATCTGCTATTACGCTGCTGTGTTCTGTTTTGCAACTACTACATGAAAGTCTTTATTTTAAACTTGCTCCTTTATAATGAATGCAGTTTCTTTGCTCACAAGAACAAGTAAACAGGGGTTCACCATTATGTTTTATTAGAATTAAACTCTGCAGTTCCTTCTCTATACTATTTTTCCCATTATTTTTTAGGTTTTCCTTTATTTGTGTTTTTCTTCCTCTTTTAATCCCTAATAACGTTCTATAGGTCAGCTAAAGCACATAATGTATTGTTTACCTTTTCATTAACTTGAATATCAAAATATCTGAAACAAAACATCCCGTAGCTGTTTTCCTTTTCAGAATAGTTTTTGTTTTCATAAAAAGCAATCTTTTTTTTTTATTTTTAATTCATAGTGGAATGGTGAATATTAGTTTTGCATAGTCATTTGTTGCTAATTCCTTCAACCTACTGAGATTTCATGATCTAATACTAGCTTTTTTTTGACAGACATAAATGTCTGTTTGGAAACAGTTTATGTATATTTCAAGTATTGACAGAAAAAGAAATTGCATACCATAGGTGTATAGCAAGTCAAAAATATTATAGTTCTATGATTTAGCTGTTTTGAGATTAGTCAACATATTTTTATACTGGGTAGTCACTACTATGGCAGATAAGAATATTCGATTTACAGTAGATAAAGATTATTATTTATCTGTATTGTGATAGCACCTAGAGTCTCTGGGCCCCTTGTACTAGACCCTGTACAAACACAGAGCAAAGAGACTGACCCTGCAGAGCTTACATTATATTAATATTGTAAGAACAGCCAGTGGATACTTCATGTTTGTGGGTACATCTACACTGAAAAATTTCGTACCCATTTTTTCAGTAGTGGTGCAGCTGCACCAGTGCTACCAACAGAATAACCTCTAGTATAGACCACTGGTTAGGTGACAGTGATGAAAATGTCTCCATGAGGCTAGAGTAGTAGAACTTATACTTTTGGTTGCTCTCATGCAGCTGTGCCAGTACTAAAAAATGGGACATAAATTTTCTAGCATTGACTTTGTCTTTTAGGTGCTGATTATGTGCTGCCAAAAACCCATATCTGTCAGCCAAAGAGAGATTTCAGGCACACATCAGCATTTTAAACGTATACTGCCTTTAAAGAAGAATGTTTAAGTTTAAAAATAACCTTCAGTGGCCAGGTTGCATTTTGCAAGCAAAGCACGTAAACTAACTTTACTAATGATGCCGTAACAAAATCAACTTCATGTTTCCTTATCAAACCATAACAAACAGTTCTATTTTATCAGTGACTATAAAAACTAGAATACCTCAGTCTTAATCAAATCATTCTTATGCTGCTTTATGGTCTTCCTTACTGTCCTATATTGTACACACACAGCATTTTACAAATTCATGGTGAAAAAGAGAGCCTTCTGAAGGCAATTGTTTTGCAATCCTCATTAAGGATGGTAGCGGCAGCAGGCATCTCCAAGGCAGGGCGAATCTGAATGTCTTTTAAGAAGCACAACATTAACTGCATTTCCTAGTTTTCTGAAATTTGAGGGGGTTTGCTTTTTTTTAACCTTCCTAAATACATGTCTGTATCCGTAACTTCATTTTAACAAAGTATTTTGTGATGGAAAATGTATATAACAAAAACAATGCTCTTTCTGTGAGAGTGTAATTCTCTGTGTAGGTGAGAGATGCGTGTGTGTGTATGTTAGAAAAGTCACAAAGGGCCTGATCCAAAGCCTGTTGAAGACCGTGGGAGTCTTTCCATTGTCTTCAAAGGGCTTTAGAACAGGCACAGAATCACTGCAGTTTTCATTTTGTTCCCAAATAAAGTCTGTTCACTACAGAAAACATTCCTGCAATGACAGATTCCTATTAGTGATATAAAACTTCTGGTTTTATTGTTAGTGCCTTTTAATAGCAGGATAACCAGATAATTACTTGTGGATTTTTAACGTTCTTTGCTTATGAAAAAGTTCTGTTCACAGTCCATAAACCATAGAGAAATAACTACTGTATGCAGTCCTCTCTCTTTATTGGTTTAATATTATTAATGTGCTGTTCAATCTATTTAGTCTTTTGTATTTTGTATAATATGCTTGTCATTGATGTATTGCACTTAAGTATTTCTGTGTTTCATTATAGGCAGAGCATTCTCACCTAAAA